CAATAATGGTGGGACACGAGACAGATTCCCTGAGTTATTTTTAAGTGACTTTATAATCTCGGTGACTTCCGTGGGCTCAGTTGGAGCAAGATAGAAGGAATTTGGGAAATTCCCATCTAGGTAGTCCCCGGCATTGGGCATTGGTACGTGGGATTTTATTGGCGAGATTAGAACCTATGGTTGAGAAGAAGTCGTTTATCTGTTAGCTGTGTCATTGGGATGCAGTGGTGTTTCATTAAGTTTAGTTAGGACAATATTCTTGGTTTTTTTCAGTTTGTGGGTCCCTAGAATCTGAGAGAGTGTTTTCCAGGTCTTTTTTTATCTCCTCTTGTGTCAGTGAATCTACTGTAGTATAGTTGTTTGGCTTTCTTTATTACTTTGGTGAGGACTGATGAAGAGTGTTTAAGAATATCTTTGTGTATTAAGCCCTGTCTATATTGCTTTTCATATTGGTGTTTCTTATCAATGGATTTCAGAATGGTGCTGGTTAGCCAAGGGCAACCAAGCCATTTGTTTGTGATCTGTTTCGTTTTTATAGGACAATGTTTGGTGAATTTTGTTTGTCAGTCATCAGACAAGTAATATTCTTCTCTCCCAAACTCTCTACTCCTGGGAACTCTTCTGTCCTCTGCCTTCCCTACATTTCCGGTCTTTCTAATCTCAACAATTCTCTCTGTCCCTTAGACATCAAACTTACTTTCCGCCAGACTAACACTCTTCGCACTAATCTCGTTCATACCTCTCCTCCCTCTACAGATGTTCCTGGTGTCTACTCTATTTCTTGTTCCTCCTGTCCTCTTTAATTCTTTGGAGAAACTGGTCGATCTCTTTCTGACAGACTTAGGGAACACAAAAATAGTGTTAGGCTAGCCGACACTAACAATGCTCTCTTCTGTCACGTCAGAGATCACAGCCATCCTATTGGCTGGTCTTCCACTAAAGCTGTCTTCCCTACTTCCAACTCTAACAGTCGCTGTTTAGTTGAATCCTCTCTAATACACAACTTTCCTTGTATGAATCTTAGTCCTGGCTTCGTCTCTGTAGATGCCTTCCTCTCCCACTACATTGTAAAATGCTCCAAACTTCAGAACACCCGTGACTTAACCTGATTCCTCATTTTTTCTTCTTCTCCCTCTTCCCCTTTCCTCTTTCCTTTTTTCTCCTCTGGGTTGTCTTTCTTCTGTCTCACATTTCTGTTCTTCATTATTTATTTTTTCACTTCCCCTTTCCCCCCACCTCTGTGCACTTGCTCTCCCTCTGTGGGCACCTAGCTCCCTTGCAGTGCTCCCCTTTCCTTGTATTTGACTGGCTCCTCCTCCTTAATTCCCCACTGCTACTACTACTACTACTATGATCTGCTGCTGCTGCTGCTGCTGCTGCTGCTGCTGCTGCTGCTGCTGCTGCTGCTGCTGCTGCTGCTGCTGCTGCTGCTGCTGCTGCTGCTGCTGCTGCTGCTGCTGCTGCTGCTGCTGCTGCTGCTGCTGCTGCTGCTGCTGCTGCTGCTGCTGCTGCTGCTGCTGCTGCTGCTGCTGCTGCTGCTGCTGCTGCTGCTGCTGCTGCTGCTGCTGCTGCTGCTGCTGCTGCTGCTGCTGCTGCTGCTGCTGCTGCTGCTGCTGCTGCTGCTGCTGCTGCTGCTGCTGCTGCTGCTGCTGCTGCTGCTGCTGCTGCTGCTGCTGCTGCTGCTGCTGCTGCTGCTGCTGCTGCTGCTGTGCTGCTGCTGCGCTGCTGCTGCTGCTGCTGCTGCTGCTGCTGCTGCTGCTGCTGCTGCTGCTGCTGCTGCTGCTGCTGCTGCTGCTGCTGCTGCTGCTGCTGCTGCTGCTGCTGCTGCTGCTGCTGCTGCTGCTGCTGCTGCTGCTGCTGCTGTGCTGCTGCTGCTGCTGCTGCTGCTGCTGCTGCTGCTGCTTCTTCTTCTTCTTCTTCTTCTTCTTCTTCTTCTTCTTCTTCTTCTTCTTCTTCTTCTTCTTCTTCTTCTTCTTCTTCTTCTTCTTCTTCTTCTTCTTCTTCTTCTTCTTCTTTCTTCTTCTTCTTCTTCTTCTTCTTCTTCTTCTTCTTTTGCTGCTGCTGCTGCTTCTTCTTCTTTTGCTGCTGCTGCTGCTTCTTCTTCTTTTGCTGCTGCTGCTGCTTCTTCTTCTTTTGCTGCTGCTGCTGCTTCTTCTTCTTTTGCTGCTGCTGCTGCTTCTTCTTCTTTTGCTGCTGCTGCTGCTTCTTCTTCTTCTTTTGCTGCTGCTGCTTCTTCTTCTTCTTTGCTGCTGCTGCTTCTTCTTCTTCTTTTGCTGCTGCTGCTTCTTCTTCTTCTTTGCTGCTGCTGCTTCTTCTTCTTCTTTTGCTGCTGCTGCTGCTTCTTCTTCTTCTTTTGCTGCTGCTGCTGCTTCTTCTTCTTCTTTTGCTGCTGCTGCTTCTTCTTCTTCTTTGCTGCTGCTGCTTCTTCTTCTTCTTTTGCTGCTGCTGCTTCTTCTTCTTCTTTTGCTGCTGCTGCTTCTTCTTCTTCTTTTGCTGCTGCTGCTTCTTCTTCTTCTTTTGCTGCTGCTGCTTCTTCTTCTTCTTTTGCTGCTGCTGCTTTTCTTCTTCTTTTTGCTGCTGCTGCTTCTTCTTCTTTTGCTGCTTCTTCTTCTTTTGCTGCTGCTGCTTCTTCTTCTTCTTTTGCTGCTGCTGCTGCTTCTTCTTCTTTTGCTGCTTCTTCTTCTTTTGCTGCTGCTGCTTCTTCTTCTTTTGCTGCTTCTTCTTCTTCTTTTGCTGCTGCTGCTTCTTCTTCTTCTTTTGCTGCTGCTGCTTCTTCTTCTTCTTTTGCTGCTGCTGCTGCTTCTTCTTCTTTTGCTGCTTCTTCTTCTTTTGCTGCTGCTGCTTCTTCTTCTTTTGCTGCTTCTTCTTCTTCTTCTTCTTTTGCTGCTGCTGCTTCTTCTTCTTCTTTTGCTGCTGCTGCTGCTTCTTCTTCTTTTGCTGCTGCTTCTTCTTCTTTTGCTGCTTCTTCTTCTTCTTCTTCTTTTGCTGCTGCTGCTTCTTCTTCTTCTTTTGCTGCTGCTGCTGCTTCTTCTTTTGCTGCTTCTTCTTCTTTTGCTGCTGCTGCTTCTTCTTTGCTGCTTCTTCTTCTTCTTTTGCTGCTTCTTCTTCTTCTTTTGCTGCTTCTTCTTCTTCTTTTGCTGCTTCTTCTTCTTCTTTTGCTGCTGCTGCTTCTTCTTCTTCTTTTGCTGCTGCTGCTTCTTCTTCTTCTTTTGCTGCTGCTGCTGCTTCTTCTTCTTTTGCTGCTTCTTCTTCTTTTGCTGCTGCTGCTTCTTCTTCTTCTTTTGCTGCTGCTGCTTCTTCTTCTTCTTTTGCTGCTGCTGCTTCTTCTTCTTCTTTTGCTGCTGCTTCTTCTTCTTCTTTTGCTGCTTCTTCTTCTTCTTCTTTTGCTGCTGCTGCTTCTTCTTCTTCTTTTGCTGCTGCTGCTGCTTCTTCTTCTTTTGCTGCTTCTTCTTCTTTTGCTGCTGCTGCTGCTTCTTCTTTTGCTGCTTCTTCTTCTTCTTTTGCTGCTTCTTCTTCTTCTTTTGCTGCTTCTTCTTCTTTTGCTGCTTCTTCTTCTTCTTTTGCTGCTGCTGCTTCTTCTTCTTCTTTTGCTGCTGCTGCTTCTTCTTCTTCTTTTGCTGCTGCTGCTGCTTCTTCTTCTTTTGCTGCTTCTTCTTCTTTTGCTGCTGCTGCTTCTTCTTCTTCTTTTGCTGCTGCTGCTTCTTCTTCTTCTTTTGCTGCTGCTGCTTCTTCTTCTTTTGCTGCTGCTGCTTCTTCTTCTTCTTTTGCTGCTGCTGCTGCTTCTTCTTCTTTTGCTGCTGCTGCTTCTTCTTCTTCTTTTGCTGCTGCTGCTTCTTCTTCTTCTTTTGCTGCTGCTGCTTCTTCTTCTTCTTCTGCTTCTGCTGCTGCTTCTTCTTCTTCTGCTTCTTCTTCTTCTTCTGCTGCTTCTCCTTCTCCTTTCTCTCTCTCTCTCTCTCTCTATATATATATATATATATATACACACACCCGTCCTGCTCCACTTCTGGTTAGTGTGACTTTGTGAATGGTCCAAGTCGGATCGAAATGTCCATTGTCATAAGCTCCTCTCTTCTATGTGTGGGTTATTTGTGTATCGTTCCAGTCACGGTATTGTGCCTTTTTTGTTATTTATACCAGGGAACAACACTTGCAATAGACCAGTGCCCACGAAATTATCAACACATGCCCTCTCTGAGGCCTGGTGATCACTACCCCATACCACTGCCTGCTGCTGCTCTCAAGAAAAATGCTCAGAAGAGGTGTTTTGTCTGTGGACATACCACAAAACACCCACAAAAACGCAGAGACACTCGTTTTATGCGTGAGGAGTGTAAAATAGCATTGTGCTTATACCCATGTTTTAAAGAATTCCACAAGCTTCATCAGTTCTAGAAAAGTGTCCAGTGATTGTATATATGTATATAGTATATTATAGAACAATCGTAATAATTTTTTTTTATATTGTTTGTGTAAACAAGTTTTGTAAACATGATCCTAGTGTTTTTGCTATAATTGTGTTACATTCAACAAGTGTATATATGAACATTGCACCATACTTTAGTCTCACAGGCCACAAAAGTTATGTGAAAAAATAAAACAGTGAAAAAAACAAAAAACCTTCAAATAAAAGTAAACCAAAGTTTACCGGGTGAGCGGCAGTTGCCGCTGTTGCCATACGCGGTTCATTTTCTGCAAATTTCACATCTCTATATCTCGGTAAGTACTGATGGCAAAAAAATTTTTTTTTTGGACTAAAACAATCAGAAAAATAATCTTAACATTTTCATAAGAAAAAATAATTTTTTTTTTTCGAATATTTTGCGACACCAGGAGACACTTCAGGATTGGGACTTGTGACAGTCAAAGGGTTAAAGTATTTTATTATATAAATAATTTTTAATTAGTAACTTTGCATTTTTATACTGTTTAACTTAAAACAGTCCTGTTTTACAAATAAACTTTGTTTTTTGCCTAATTTTGAATGCTATATTTTGTAACAGTCCTCCAAGAGCTCCAGTAGTGGTGTCTGGTGTAGTTGGGAAAGTAGAGAGAGACTTCCCCACAGCAGCAGTCAAGCACACTCATGAGAAACCAGTACCCACTCATGAAGTACGTTCTTCCCATAACAGCAAACCTCCCATCATCCAGCAGCCCAGGAAGTAGATGAGATAGTGTTCATACACATCCATGTCATTCAGGATGTCAGCCTGTTTCTAGCTGCATATGACAATGAAACTACAAGAGCCATTAGCATTGGGGAATAGTCTAGTAGTTGGTGAAGACTGAAATATTTGAGTGATGTTAGAAAAATAGGCTGATGCTGTATTGATGAAATTGTTTGGCCAAAAAGAATATAAAATTCTTGAATGATTTAGGTACTGGCAGTCATTTTCTATGATAAATATTTTTTTTTAAACAATAGTTTAACTGTTATAACACACTTAGATTCGCTCAAATATTCAGGGTATGATTGCCAGGTTGTTGTTGTTAGGAATGGTGATATAAAAATAGGTACTTTTTTATTATTTAATAGATGTATTATTCTCAGTGAGGAGGATTGATCATGCCAAGATGTTCTGAAGTGTTCACTGCCTAAGTACATTTGGTGTGGGAATGGGCACATTTATACTTGGTTAGGTTATTGTACTTAATATTACAGTAAATGATGTGACTTTCAAGAAGTACAAATACACTGGGTGCATGATAACTAAAAGGATCAACAAAGCAGTTGTTCACCTATCGCTAATAATTTAAGATTTTATTAGTTTTAAAGGAAATTTTGGACTTATTGGTGCACACTCAAGTATGGTGCAAAAATGTTAGCAATAATGAATTCAAACTCTATCCTCAGTGGAATATTATGGATAAATTTATTATGTTTGGATGACAAAGTATTGTTTATTGCAGTACAGTATATAGTAATTTGATTAGATACCTGTATATACAAATGTATTTGTTAAAATGAGGTCAGCATTATCATCTGTTAATGACACTTATAAATAACATACAGTATTAAAGTGGCTGAGACATTTTTCATTTGCATTACATTTGAAGTATGATTCACTTTATTATATGAAAGTCAAAATGGAAATAGCTTAAGATTACTTATTTTGTGTTACTTGAGTAGCAAGGCCAAAATTAGTTATTAATTTGGGCTGTGAAAAAAATTAATGAACAGTTCTTGTTTGGAAAGCTGTGATAATGTTATCAGGTATTATATTGTACCCTTACAGCTGGTTATTTATTATCAATCTTTGGCATATACTTGCCAGTCTACTACTGCTTGGGATTGTTACCGGGAAACCTTTTGGTACATACTCGCCAGTCTACTGGTTCTTGGGATTAATAATGGGAAGGCTTTAGAAGTTCATCTAATTTAATTTTAGTTAGTATTTTGCTATAAACCATGAAACATTTTCCTGTCTCAAGTTTAAATTTGCACTGATTTTACCACACACACACAACACACACACACACCACACACACAGGACTACAAAGAGACCTGGACAGGCTATAAGCCTGGTCCAGCAACTGGCTCCTTGAATTTAACCCTGCCAAATGCAAAGTCATGAAGATTGGGGAAGGGCAAAGAAGACTGCAGACACAATATAGTTTAGATGGCCAAAGACTGCAAACCTCACTCAAGGAAAAAGATCTGGGGGTGAGCATAACACCGAGCATATCTCCTGAGGCGCACATCAATCAGATAACTTCTGCAGCATACGGGCGCCTGGCAAACCTACGGATAACGTTCCGATACCTGAGTAAGGATTCGTTTAAGACTCTGTATACCATTTACGTCAGGCCCATACTGGAGTATGCAGCACCAGTTTGGAATCCACACCTAGTCAAGCACGTCAAGAAATTAGAGAAAGTGCAAAGGTTTGCAACAAGACTAGTCCCAGAGCTACGGGATTGTCCTACGAAGAAAGGTTGAGGGAAATCGGCCTGACGACACTGGAGGACAGGAAGGTCAGGGGAGACATGATAACGACATATAAAATACTGTGCGGAATAGACAAGTGGGACAAAGACGGGATGTTCCAGAGAAGGGACACAGACACAAGAGGTCACAATTGGAAGTTGAAGACTCAGATGAATCAAAGGGATGTTAGGAAGTATTTCTTCAGTCATAGAGTAGTCAGCCGTGGAATAGCCTAGAAAGTGACATAGTGGAGGCGGGAACCATACATAGTTTTAAGGCGAGGTATGATAGAGCTCATGGGCCAGGGAGAGAGAGGACCTAGTAGCATCAGCGAAGAGGCAGGGCCAGGAGCTGTGACTCAACCCCTGCAACCACAAATAGGTGAGTAAAAATAGGTGAGTACACACCAACAGGAGCTAAGACTCGACCCCTGCAACCACAAATAGGTGAGTACGTACACACACACACACACAACACCACACACACACACACACACACACACACACACACACACACACACACACACACACACACACACACACGACCCCTGCAACCTCAACTACACACACACACACACACACACACACAACACACACACACACACACACACACACACACACAAAACACACTTATATACAACAGGCCAAGTGTCTAATGACATGTGCCTAGGACAAAATGGTAACTAACACACACACTCTTATATACAACAGGCCAAGTGTCTAATTGACATGTGCCTAGGACAAAATGGTAACTAATACACACACACACACACACACACACACACACACACCACACACACACACACACACACACACACACACACACACCCACACACACTCTCTAATATACAACAGGCCAATTGTCTAATAGACGTGCCTAGTACAAAATGGTAACTAACACACACACACACACACACACACACTCTTATATACAACAGGCCAAGTGTCTAATTGACATGTGCCTAGGACAAAATGGTAACTAACACACACTCACACTCACACTCTCACACACTACACACATTCACACACTCCACACACATTACACACTCACACACATACACACTCACACACTCACACACTCACACACTCACACTCACACTCACACACACACTCACACACACTCACACACACTCACACACACACACACACACACACACACACACACACACACACACACACACACACCACACACACACACACACACACACACACACTCACACACACTCACACTCACTCACACACACACTCACTCACACACTCACACACTCACACACACACACACTCACACACTCACACACACACACACACTCACACACACTCACACACACACACACACACACAACCACTCACACACTCACACTCACACACACACACACACTCACACACACACACACACACAACACACACACACAAAACACACACACACACACACACACACACACACACCACACTCACACTCTCACACTCCACACTCTCTCTCACACTCACACTCTCTCTCTCTCTCTCTCTCTCTCTCTCTTTCACACACACTCACTCTCACTCACACACTCACACACTCACACTCACACTCTCACACTCACACTCTCACACTCCCTGACGACACTGGAGGACAGGAGAGATAGGGGGGACATGATAACGACTTACAAAATACTGAGAGGAATTGACAAGGTGGACAAAGACAGGTTGTTCCAGAGATTGGACACAACACGGGGACACAGTTGGAAGCTGAAGACACAGATGAATCACAGGAATGCTAGGAAGTATTTCTTCAGCCTCAGAGTAGTCAGGAAGTGGAATAGTTTGGGAAGCGATGTAGTGGAGGCAGGATCCATACATAGCTTTAAGCAGAGGTATGATGAAGCTCATGGTTCAGGGAGAGTGACCTAGTAGCGACCGGTGAAGAGGCGGGGCCAGGAGCTGAGTCTCGACCCCTGCAACCACAATTAGGTGAGTACACACACACACACACACACACACGAGAAAATGAAGACAGATTATTTGAAAGCATGAATGTAAGTTGAACTTTATAGTTGCAAGATTGAGCTGTGCTGTGGGAACTAGGCAGGTACAGTTAGGTATCTAGCAATTAGCAAATGGAGGATTGAGCCTTCACTCCTTGCACTGATTAACTTGCATGGGTTTAGTGCTTTGCATCCATATGCATACAGAAAAAATATATATATAATATACTGATATATGGGACAAGGTGAGATGGATATAAATTATGAAGGAACTTCATTTTCTGCTTAAGCAGAAGCAGTGCAATTATATTTTGTTGGGCATATTTTGTGTAGGTAAATTAGTGCTGTCATAGTTTACATCTTTTGATATGTAACCTACAAATGGCCTTTGTACACAAAACTTCTATTAGGCTCAAATGGGAAAAATTAAGGCCAATTATATAAAATTTATATCTCTAGTTGATGTTCATCCTGTCCTCTTGTTTCTCTAAATCTATAGATGGTTCATAACCATGAAGATATTGGTGCCACTATGTTTGTGGTAAGTTATACACTTAAGTTGTAATTTTTTGTGCTGCATAACTTTGACAATACACAAGTGACAATATGTATAATTAATTCAACAGGAATTTTTTTTTTAATGGTAACTAGATTAGTTAGTGATGATTTAACTGTCAATCATTTTATAGAATGTAACGGCCATCAGTGTGAACCTTAGCTACCAATCAGCTTGTAATTCATTGGCTGTCTGCAGTTTAAATTATATTCTATCAGACTATAATGTTGCATAGGTTCAAATGACTCTTGAATATGTTTCTCAAGAAGTGCATCACAAACTCGTATTATTTATATAACAAAATAAACTTTTACTTGACATGCCATATAAATATCATGCCAACTTCATGTAGTATTTGGGTATTAAGCATTTTTGTTCGTCATTCCATTGTTCTGGATCTCGAGTACATAAAGCCTTTAGAAATAAAAATAACTGCTTAACATATTAGAATGAACATCTTAATCCAATTTATTGTATTATGTTGGAGGAAACATACATAGCTGTTAAAATTCTCAGCTAGTCTTGTAAAACACTCATCATCCATTTCATGATGCCTTTTATATTATATATACCATTTTGTAGGGGAGCATTAATCATCCGATTCATATCTATGAGAGAGCCCTCCAACTTGCCCAGTTCACTGGATATAATGTGAATTACTTTGGGGACCATTGGTTTTGGGGTTTGTTCATTATTGTTTACTAAATTCCACTTTTTTGAAGTTCTTCATTTATACATGATGTACAATTCACCTAGTCTAGCTTTTCATATACTAGTTAGTCATTATTTCATTTCCATACTTTAAGGCGTAGACAGTATTGCTTTGCTTTTTTTTTCTATAATGGTTTATCTTTTTGCTTGTACTACTGTATTATAGTTTGTTATTACTAAAAGTAATTATATTTGAGAAGTGTAGCTTTACAATTGTCAAGTGTTAGTACATAATTTTGAGGGTTTTATGGTATTTTGTCTTTGTTCAGTTTGCTATATTATGAATTTTAAGTTGGGGAAAATTTTAGGAAAATATTTAATAAAAATAAAATATTTAATTTGTTTGTTTTGCCTCTTGTTAATTACTGTTAAACAAAACAAGTACTAAACTGATATGGGTTATGTAGTACTACTCTGTTGTTGAACTAAATTATGCTTCCCTTTTCTTATACGTACTTGCATGTAACCCCAATGTCTGCGCACTGAGTTTTGTGCAAACCCTCTATTACAAACATGGGTATAATATGACCTGCAAACCAGGTCGTAATAGGATTAAAATGGAGCAGACAAAACTCAACAGTAGTATATGACTTGTATTTTCTTTCACCAGGTATAAATTACAAGTATTTACAAGTATGTACACTATGTACAGTGATGGAATAGTAAGTGTACAACATGGTGACAAAAGATGGCAAAAGCAGATGCCAGAGAATGCACCATGCTCAACCAGCAGCCCAGGCAATTCTGTCAATTCGCTTGGCACAAATGAACCACGTTGCTTCAGCTTTGGTGGACTTGTCTGTGATTGGCCAGTGAACCAAGATACAGTGGACCCTCGGTTATCGACCTTTCCACTTTCCGGTCAACTCGGTTAGTGGCTGGTTTTTCGGCTTCCAGTTATCGGCTGTTATTTCACTTATTGGCTGTATGGGACGCGTCAACCCATTGCCACCAGCCGCTTGCACGTCAGTTTGGCTGTCTCTCTGGGCGAGTGAGGAA